TCGTCTGTCGGTGGGCATTTAGGTTGCTTCCATGACCTGGCTATTGTAAATAGTGCTGCAGTGAACATTGGGGTACATGTGTCTTTTTGAATTATGGTTTTCTCTGGGCATATGCCCAGTAGTGGGATTGCTGGGTCATATGGTAACTCTATTTTTAGTTTTTTAAGGAACCTCCATACTGTTCTGCATAGTGGCTGTATCAATTTACATTCTCACAAACAGTGCAAGAGAGCTCCCTTTCCTCCACACCCTCTCCAGCATTTGTTGTTTGTAGATTTTCTGATGATGCCCATACTAGCCAGTGTGAAGTGATACTCATTGTAGTTGTTTTTTTTTTGTTTTTGTTTTTTTTTGCGGTACGCGGGCCTCTCACTGTTGTGGCCTCCCCCGTTGCGGAGCAAAGGCTTCGGACGCGCAGGCTCAGCGGCCATGGCTCACGGGCCCAGCCGCTCCGCGGCACGTGGGATCTTCCTGGACCGGGGCACGAACCCGTGTCCCCTGCATCGGCAGGCGGACTCTCAACCACTGCACCACCAGGGAAGCCCTGTATGTCTTCTTTGGAGAAATGTCTATTTAGTTCTTCTGCCCATTTTTTGATTGGATTGTTTTTTTAATATTGAGCTGCATGAACTATTTATACATTTTGGAGATTAATCCTTTGTTAATTCGTTGGCAAATATTTTCTCCCATTCTAAGGGTTGTCTTTTTGTCTTGTTTATAGTTTGCTTTGCTGTGCAAAAGCTTTTAATTAGGTCAGAATTAGGTCCCATTAGGTCCCATACAGTCCCACAGGCTGCAGGATTGTAGTTCTTCTTGGTTCTGCTGTCTGCCCTCTGGTGGATGAGGCCATCTAAGAGGCTTGTGCAGGCTTCCTGATGGGAGGGACTGGTGATGGGTAGAGCTGGGTGTTGCTCTGGCAGGGAGAGCTCAGCAAAACCTTAATCTGCTTGTCTGCTGATGGGTGGGGCTGAGTTCACGCCCTGTTGGTTGTTTGGCCTGAAGTGACCCAGCACCAGAGCCCACAGGCTCCTTGGTGGGGCTAATGGCGGACTCCGGGAGGCCTCATGCCAAGGAGTACTTCCCAGAACTTCTGCTTCCAGTGTCCATCCCCCCGTGGTGAGCCACAGCTGCCCCCAGCCTCTGCAGGAGACCTTCCAACACTAGCAGGTAGGTCTGGTTCAGTCTCCTATGGGGTCACTGCTCCTTCCCCTTGGGTCCTGATGCACACACACTGCTTTTTGTGTGCCCCCAAGAGTGGAGTCTTTGTTCCCCCCAGTCCTGTCAAAGGTCTGCAATCAAATCCTGCTAGCCTTCAGAGTCTGATTCTCTAGGAATTCCTCCTCCCGTTGCCGGACAGCCAGGTTGGGAAGCCTGATGTGGGGCTCAGAACCTTCACTCCAGTGGGCGGACTCTGTGGCATAATTGTTCTCCAGTTTGTGAGCCACCCACCCAGTGGTTATGGGATTTGATTTTATTGTGATTGCGCCCCTCCTACCGTCTCATTGCGGCTTCTCCTTTGTCTTTGGATGTGGGGCATCTTTTTTGGTGAGCTCCAGTGTCTTCCTGTCGATGGTTGTCCAGCAGTTAGTTGTGATTCTGGTGCTCTCGCAAGAGGGAGTGAGAGCACTTCCTTCTACTCCACCACCTTGAACCAATCTCCTCTGACACGTTGACCTCCAAATGGAAAAATCTTCTTTGTGTGAATAAAGGTGGCCTTCAAGGTCCAAGTTTCAGGGAACTGGCCCACGGTCCCCAGGACGGTCACGGCTTTGGCTAGTGGGGCCCCTCCAGAGCCGGCAGCCTCAGTGAGGCCGCCCTGCCTTTGGGCTCCAGGGCAGCTCAGTGACAGCAGAGGGAAGAGACCCTGAGCCAGCAGCTCCAGTTATGTGGAAACTCAGGCTCCATTCTCCAGTTTTTCTAATCTCGTCTTCTGAGGTCAAGCTAGCATGATTCTTTTGTTCTCACTCTATGGTAGATTTAATTCAAGTTCAGGGTCTTACAGTAGGAAAGAAATTTATAAGACACGGAGCCCAACTCCCTTCCAATGACAGTCACGATGGAGGGGATCTTGCTGCTTGTCCGCTTGTAACAACAGAGTTTACGCCTATGTTGTTGCAGTTTTTTAAATGTTTTGGTAGTTAGAAACTTATTCCATATACTAATAAGTAAAAATATCAGTTTGAGGAAACCCAGAATTTGTTTCTAGAGCTGATGATAATGAAGTCACAATTCAGCTCACTGGTATCAAGATTTCCCTTTCTGCATAATATGTCTTCAAATATGCTTACATTTAATGATAACTATCTACCAGTGCTTGGCCACTTACTGTGTGCCAGCTCCTGCTCGAAGTGCTTCACATGTTGTGTTGGCCAAAAAGTTGGTTTGGAAAAACCTGAACAAACTTTCTGGCCAACCCAATACATCATGCCATTTAATCTTCACAATGTATTGATATTCTCATCTTAAAGATGAAGAAATTGATGCTAAGGGATGTCAAATACTTGTCCAAAGTCTAATCTTGGTTATCTAAATGCATCTAATCTAAAAATCATAGCTAATAGCCAGGGCTGCTTGGATTTGAAACCAAAATAGCTGACTCTAAAACCTCTGCACTTAACTGCTCTGCTGTATTGCTGCCCTATATTTACTCATTTCTAATTTATAACTTACTTAGATCCAAAAGGAAGTTAAGGTCTCTTCAAATAAAAGTGCACATAAAATAGCATAGTTAAAAACTGAAAGAAAAGGTAAACCCTGTTGGAGCCCTTCAAATTTTGGAAACAGCAATCTAGTCTCCCTAAATTTGTGCTATCTAAACAACATGGCCAGTTTCTTAAACTTCCTATCCATTGGGAAGAAGGTGGGCTGCTGGACTGTGAAATCTTTGTGGGCGGTGGCCTTGTCTTGTCACTGTTATGTTTCTGGTTCCTAACCAACTGTGTTAAGTAGGGATTGAAGGAGTGTGCTAGAGAAGATGACGCTGAATACGCAGATCTGACTCAGGCTGCTGTTGCTGAAGCAGGCTTATTGGGAGTAGACGTTGGGTCAAACTGGATGGCAGTTGTGACTTGGGGACGCAAGGTAAAATGGCTGTCGGGGAGGAGAAGAGGTAGAATAAGAGAGTATCTTTCTTATCTATACTCCACTGTATGCTACTTTGCATTTTATGTATATATCACTGTAAACCACCTTGAATCCCTTTTATATAACGAGGCAGGATATAAACAAATGCTTATATATTTAAACAGACACACATACATACACAAAAAGTATTAGATCAGATTGACCTGTTTAGTGAAATCCTTTGTTGTCCGAGGGTGGTTTCATAATCAGGAAGAGGCTAACAATGGCTAGATTCGCATAAAAGGTGGTGAGGCAAGAGCAAGGTGGTCAGCAGGGTTGGGTTTCTGTGTACTTACTGTGGGAGCCATCCCTGCTGGTCTCACCATGATCATCCCAGGTACTGTGATTTCTAGGCCTTTGCTATGCTGGTCATTTTACCCTGGAACTTAAGAGAGTTCCTCTTGAGACTGAATGCTGTACCTCAAAGCCATGCAGAAAGAAGAGAAATGCTCTTGCCTTATTTATTGCAAACAGTTTTACTTCTATTCATGCAGCTGGAAACTGTATTTGTTTTTTTTAACTTTCGCATGCATCACACTGTCACACTGACCTTGTAGTCAACTAAAATCCCTGGTTCTTATCAGAGATTCTCCTCCCTATATTTGTGCAGGTGTTAACTTATACCTAGTTTCAGGACTTTACAATAATTATTCCCATTTTATAGATGAGAGTGGTTCTGGGAAGCTAAGTAAGTTTTTCCTCTCTTCATCTCCTACCTTTTCTCTGTCTCCCTGGTGCCCTCTTCAGTTTTTATTCATTTGTTCCCAATCCTCAGTGTTTTACCTCTTTCTATGCTGGTTGATTCCCTTGTGTTCTTGACCAGATGGCACCAGGGCACTGAATGTTGGGGTTAAAGGGGATTTTCACAGTGTCTTTTCTGGGTGGGGAGTTATTTGCAAAGTATGAGAAACAGCTCATTGGGTGTCTCCTATACTATCATTGTGCTGAAATGATTGCCTTCCTCTGTCATCTTCATGTACTAGGTCTCCAACCCCGGGAGGAGGGGAGAAGGAGGAAGAAAGTCTACACAGTTTGATCAGAACCCAGTAGCCCAGTTGTCACTGAGTACCCTTGGCACACCCTTGCTTTGTTGTTCCCAGGGAAGGTTTGAGGGAGAGCTTGTCGGGCCTGTACCACAAGGCTGCACTGGCTAACCATTTCTAATTAGCAGCCCCGCCTGGCCATGTCCAGGATACCAAAGTCAAAGGTTTACTTTGGTACCCTTATTAAGTGGCACACCACTTATTTTCCATCAAGACAGAGGCTGGATGAGTCCTACTCAACATGAGAATCTCTCAGGTATCAGAATCTAGTTTATAAAGAAGGGAATGTTGGGAGGTAAGGAAAAGCCTGATGAAAAAGCTTCTTCCTTTCGACAAGTCAACGGCACAAGGAAGAAATCCTTTTTTCCCTCTCCTATAAGCCCTTAATAGACCAGGGCTGCTGCTCCTTGGCTGAGGTGACTGAGGTAACAGGGAAGTCTTGACTTGAATAATGGGTGTAGCCCTTTTTGTCTCTGACATCTGTGTTCTTCCCGGCCCTTACCAGGGGTCACTGAGGTGCAAAGACAGTTCTCCAGAACTTTCACTATTTGTAATATTCATTCATTTATTCATCAAATATTTGTTGAGGGCTTGCTAGGATGAGGGTATAATGTAAAGAAAAACAAAAACAATGACAGCAATGGGCCCTGTCCAAGTGGGGATGTCATTCTTGAGTGAAGCTTTCCTTCCCTTTGGGCATTTCAGGGCCCACTGTGAGTGAGGGTGTCAGCCTCAACCCATATATTATATTTCAGTAGTGCTTATTTTCTCTTAGTTTTGATATTTAAAAATCGCATGAATAGAAGTTCTAGTGTTTCCTTCCTGCTTCTCCAGGCCTCTCATCCTTGGATGATCCTGGAAACCCCTTGGTGCACATCCCATACTTTGGAGATCACTGGTGAAGAAGACAGGAAGATTATTGGAGATGCTGAAAGCAAACACAGTAAAGTACCATTTAAAAAATGTAGGGGTAGGAGAAATGACCAATTCTCTGACTGTGGAGCCTGTGAAGAGTTTCTTTCTTTCATTTGTTCACTGAACAAACAATAAACTGAGCAATTCCTGCCAGGTGCTGAACTGTACACTGGGGAGGAAAAAGATAATTCACTTAGTCCCTGCCCCTGGAGAACTCCCAGCTTAATGAGGAAGACTGAAATGCAAATGAGAGATGCTAAATGTATGTGGGGAGAAGTAGTGCAAAATGTTCAGAGGCCCTCACCTTCTGCATGTCTTTCTCACTTCCTTAATTGGCTCTACTTTGACCACTGCTTTTAATTGCAGCTCCTCCTGTGTGCAGTCCTCCCCTCGACCCTCAGTCCCACTCTCCTTACCCTACCCATCTCTTTCCATGCCACTTATCAGCTTATAACATTCCGTATAATTTGCCTATTTCTTATATTTATTTTCTCTCCCACCACAAGAATGTCAGCTTCCCAAGGGCAGGGATATTGGTCTGTTTGTTCATAAATCTGTTTCAACTGCAGGAATGGTTTGTTGAAAGAACGAAAGAGGTGACCATCAAACTCCGTCGGATTATTCAAGGTTGTAGACAGACTGTGGGGAATGATCAGGAAGGATGTCATAAAGAAGGTGATGTTTGAGCTGGCTTGTACATGGTGAATTGAAATATTAGGAGGAATAGCCATGCTGTGCAGAAGCAACAGCGTATGTAAAAGTATGGAGGGTGAGAAGGAGCCCCATGAGTTCGGAAAATATGAGCGGCTCAGCATGGTTGGAACTTAGGGCACATGGTGGAGAACAATGGAAGAAGAGTCTGGTGAGCTGAGGAAGACTGTGAAGCCCCTCATATATTTTGTTTAACGCTGGGGAATTGCAGACAGCAACAGTACCTGAAGAACTGGAAAAGAGAACTTGATTAACTTGTATAACGTATAGAAAATCTTACTTCCTGTATTTTCAAGTCCACTGTTTTTGTCCAAAGCGTGGCATTTGAGGAAAGGACTCCTAGTGGATGTCCCTTCACCTTTGAATGAGGCCTGGGAGAAGTAACTGAAAATCCAGGTTAGGAAATATGTTGTTTTCATTTTTCTCACCTGGCACAGTGCCCAACACATAGTGTTGTTCAGTAAATACATACAGAAATAAATGAAAGAATGAACTTGCTAATCAGTGTCCAGATGACCCCAAAGTGAAAAGAATAACACCTAATTGGTGTCGAATTCTGACCTCATTGCAATTAATTTTTACTGATGTGAATGCCTCTGGATGTGTTTGCTGCTAATCTCTGTGACTTCTTTCTGGTGTTACAGTTTTGTGATAAAGATCGTGAACTTTGGAGTCATACCAACTTGAATTTGAATCCTGGTTCCGTCACTTACTAGCTGCATGGCCTTAAATAAGTTGCTTAACCTCTCTGAGTCTCACTTTCCTAATGTAAGGATGTCAGTACCTACTGTCTAGGATTGTTTGAGAATTAAATGAGATAGTCCACGAAAGAGTTTCATAAAGTTCTTGGAATTTAGTAAGCATTCAATAACAGTTGACTATTAACTTTTTATATTAATGGGGAGGAACGAGGTACCCGAGTCAGCCTTTATAAGCATGTATAGGATTGAGAAACACTGATGGTTTTATTTGCTTTAGATAAAGTCTGAGTAAAGTGAATGTGGCCCATTCCATTACTTAATAAGTTGGTAAACTTTTCCTTTGTGCCAAATAGTATGAATGGAAATATAAATCCAAAAGGTGTGGTGACCCATAATAACCAAATGCACCGTGTACTGCATTTCTCTTACATGCTGACACCTTGAAGTGAGGTCTAATAAAGAGAGCTGGTTCTGCTGGGATGATAATAAAAAGGTCAAGGTTGTAGGTTTGATGCCTGAAATCAACCAGTTAGTGTGATATAGGGAAACGGTCTGCCTTTTCATTCCAGACAACGCTGGAGTATTGAAAATGACACAGGATGAAAGGGAAGAAAGGTGGCTCCTCACTCCTAGAAAGGTCCCTGAGACTCAAGTCCTACTGATGGTTCATTAATCTCAGCTAAATTTTGAATCCTGATGATATGTCAGGCCCTGCGCTAAGTGCTTTCCACCTGTCATCTTATTGAATGTAATGTTCATAACAGCAATGTGGGTGTTCTTTTCCCCAACATCTACTCATTTATGAATCTTAGAAAAGTGAAGAATCTTGTCCAGGTTCCCTTGAAGAGCAAGTGGTGGAGTTGGGACTTGAATCTTGGTTTTTCCACCCTGAATTCTTGACCTCCAAGCTATGCATTTTTGCTTCAAGATGGTTATACTGTGTTTACAGCTTTGTTAATGAGGGATAGCCATTTTCTTAACAAAGATTAGAGCAATTTGACTTCCTGCTGGACACAAGATGTGTGTTTTTTCTTAGTAGCCAATGTCTAAAGACTATAAAATGCCAGCAAAATCATTCATGAAGGTGGCTCTGACAGCCATCCACTGAATGAGTTCAGTGCTAGACTGTTCTCTTGCTTTGTTTGTTCGTTCAAATGAGCCTTTAAAAAGTTGCATATATTCGTTTAAATACTGACTTCATAGAGAGCGTAGGAAGAAGTAACATATTTAAGTAATTCATTTTACTTACTGCTCTTTGTGATGTTTTGCCTGGGAATTTGCATACAATATGCATAATTAATGTGTCATAGAGCTAAAATAATTTCTAAAGTTTCTAGTTTCAGGTTAATATATTTTATAATAAAAAATAAATTATAAAAAATCAATTAAATGATTATTTGAGTCATAGCCAGCTATAAGATACCCAAAGTGTCAGATTAGTAAAAAGACTTCCTGGAGCATAAATTAAGCATTTTAGGAAATGGCATTAATTCTGTTAAACTCATTCAAGATAATATTTCAGCAGATTAATACTCTGTGATTCCAAAAAGCCCAAAACATCTGATATTTCTAAAAGTCCTGGGCATAAGCCTGAGCTGTAAATAGGCTTGATTCTTATATGATCACTTAGCTTCATGCTATTCCCTGGCCCTTGACTGGCCCCAACCCTGACCAGGTATTATCTACACCTTGGCTTTTGGTCTCCAAGGGACCAGATGAATGAAACAGAATGAATTGCTTATGCAAATTTATCACCACTTCCAAAACAGAGAGCATCCCGCCCCCAACACATACCCCTTTGTTGGTAAATTCAGCAACTATTCTTAGAGAGCAATTGACAGAAAATATTAAAATGTATATAATGTGCTAAAATTTAGCCTTTGTTTACTTAAACGTTATTCAACCTAAGTATAAAACACACTGCTAGGGCCCTTTAAATTTTTTTTGGTTAGACTTTTAATTCAACTGTAAAGACAGTTCAAGTGAGAAACTTCAGCGCGTTGATTTTGTTCTTTGAGTCATTGCACTGTAATTAGTTGAGTTGTGTTTTAAATGCAGCACAAGAACATCTTTCTTGTCTGTTTGTGTCAGAAAAAAATGACTAATGAGCACTTATCAAAAAGATGAACATTTTTTCATTAGATTAAGTACAATCAAAACAGATTTATAATGTACTATTATGTTTCAGCTTGGAATAAATTGAGTAAAATAGCTAATATCTTCACAGCTTCCTGAGAATTTCTTTGCATGGCAGGCTCCTCCTCCCCCACACATTTAGACTTCAGGAAAGTGCCCATTTGTGGCAACTTTCTCTGTGGAGTCAAGACACATTCCCAAAGGATTTAGAATGCCCTTAATATTATTTGTAAAGTCTGAATATTTGTGAAGCACTTGTCAAAATTGATTTCCTTTGGATTATGCCAGTGTGCTTAATGACATAGTTCTTTAAAGTTGTTTTAAGAAATGACTTCCCCCTGCTTTCTCTTAGTGGTCAGTCAAAATGCCAGCTGGTACTCAGTGCCACACAGAGCACTCTTCTATTTTGAGATTTTTGTATTTGCTCAAGTGGATGAATTTTAGCCTGCGTGTTACCAAGAGGTGCAGACGATGAAGGTTGATTCCTTGGGAAAGTTTCAAGTAAAGATGTTTAAGTTAAGAAACGTCTCTTTTTAAATGTCACTTGGATGGCAGTTTATTTTCAGGTCATCAAAGATTCTAAGTAATTACTTGCTCTTCTACTACGTGAGAATTAAAGTCCATCTTTGTCAGTGTCTGCTTGGGGCTGTATAATTATGTACATATCCACAAAGCAACCAATATAACAAGGCCTTATGTGGATAAAGAAGAACCTTGACTCCCTCAAGTTTTCTGAGTTTGCATGAGGGTGAATGGACAAGAGATAAATTCCTTGTATGTATATGAAGGAAAAGTAAATTGTTGTGGCCACTAGAGTCTTAACTTAGTGTAATCATAATTTTTGTTTACACTGCACACTTTTGGGGAAAAAATATTAATTGAAGTATAACACATTTATAGATGAAAGAAGCTTGACGAATTTCTACAAAGTAATATACCCAGGTAAATGCCACCCAGACCAAGGTATAGGACATTACTAACCCTACAGAAGCCTTCTTTATGTCCTTTCCCTGTCGTTATGCCCCACCCAAAAGTGAACATCATTCTGATTTCTATCATCATAGATTACTTCTGATGTTTTGGAACTTTATATACATGGAATCATACAGCAGCTACTCTTTCGGCTTCTTTCCCTAAAAATTATGTCTGTGAGATTTATTAATGTGATTGTGTGTAGCAGAAAGTCTTTTTTCAAGGTTGTATAGTATTCTGTTATAGGAATATACACTTTTTAAAAGTACATTTATTTATTTACTTATATTTTTATTTTTTTGGCTGTGTTGGGTCTTCTTTGCTGCACGCGGGCTTTCTCTAGTTGTGGTGAGAAGGGGCTACTCTTTGTTGAGGTGCATGGGCTTCTCATTGCTGTGGCTGGCTTCTCTTGTTGTGGAGCACGGACTCTAGGCACATGGGCTTCAGTAGCTGTGGTACGCGGGCTCCGTAGTTGTGGCACACGGGCTTAGTTGCTCCACGGCATGTG